GTCCCCGCCCAGCACCCTCGACTCAGCTCTTCCGGCCTGAAAACTGATCCTGTATGCTCCCGGCTTTGTTTTTGACTTTTTAAATGACCTTGTACAGGGAGCGTGAAGCCCACGGCTGCCCCTGCCCCCATGTGGGAGGCGGATGGGGTGGGGGAGACAGCCTAAGGAGTTAAGAAAAAGGGTTCTACACTTGGCAGTCCCCGAGTTCAGGCAGGAGTGGAAGCTTGCCTCTGGACAGTGGCTCTGGCAGGGACCTTGAGGTGGACACTGATAGTGGTGATTGACAGCTGAGGTGACCCGGGCCCAGGATGGTGAAGGCTGTCCCTGGCGCATCCAGTGAGAAGCACCAGCGCCCATGCAGTCCCTCCGCCTTATGGCTCCGGCTTCCCCAAGCTCAGCTCACTTGGTTCGTTCTCATCTGGGCTTGGTCAAGGAGCAACAAATACACCCAGGCTTTCAGTTAGTAAACATTTATTGAGCACCCACTATATTCTAGCACGTAGCACTGCTAGGTGCCAGAACACAGCAATAAATGGAAGCTTTGTGGCTGATGTTCTGTCAGTAAACAAGAAAAAGTAAACGAGATCTATGGTATAAGACTGTACTCAGGGGAGTGACTCACCCTCTCTCAGCCTTTTCTCACCCCTAATAGAGACCCCGATACTCATGCCTCATTCAATCCTAGGCTGTTACAGAGGATGGCCAGTCACTGTAAACTGTATATATGGTGCCTGCATGCACACATTAGCTGCTGTTATGGTACTTACAAGCTTGGGTTTGTTTTTGTTTTTTGAGAAGGGAGAGGGGGAGAGATAAACATCCTTGATAAGAATCATTGATCCGCTGCCTCCTGCATGCCCCTTACTGGGGATGAAGTCTGCAATCTCGGCATGTGCCCTGACCAGGATTTCCTAGATCATAGGTTGATGCTCAACCGCTGAGCCACACTGGCTGGGCTGTTTGTTTTTTTAGTAGCAAATTCCCCAAATAAAATCTTAGGCAGATCACAATATGAAAGCAGATAAGAGTATAGTCACTTCGGGGTCTTCTGCCTGTGTCCACCCTGCAGGATCATCAGCAGGATGTGTTCACATGCTGGGCAGGGGCCAGTGCATGGTGGGTACTTGATATTATGGAAGCTGGGGATGGGGGAGGGACCCGCATGTGCTACCAGGAGGATGAGACCCCAGCAGGGCCTGACCCCCACTGTCCTCTCACAGGATTCCCACAGCAGGCATGTGGGGTGCTGTGGGCACCGTGGGGCTAGTGTGGGCCACCGACTGGCGGCTGATTCTGGACTGGGTGCCCTACATCAATGGCAAGTTTAAGAAGGACAACTAATTAAACTGACCTTCCTCAGGCCCCTCTGGTAAGTTTAGCGGCTATCAGCAGGTGAACCCCATGATTCCCCCATGACAGAGGAGTGAACTTCCACAAGGTGGATTCCCATGCTTCCAGGCCTAGGGCAGCAACGCTGGGAGGTTCACTTGGACTGTTCACCCTGGAGAATCCTGCCTGCGGTCGGAGCTCTTGGTTAGGCTCTTCAGTTACCTCCTGCGCATTGGCACAGAGCTGCCAGCTGGCAGCCTCAGTTTGTGGGATAAGGGAATGGGCACTGCTCCTCAGTGCTCAATCCTGGAGAATGACCATGCACCCTGCTTCCCATCTCAATCTGCCCAACCCTGAGCAGGACAGAGGGATGCCCATTTTACATATGGGGACAGTGAAGGCTGTGGGCCACAGTAATGACCCTTCAGAACTTGTCCATTAGTCCCCAGCATGTCCATCAATGTGCCATGTTTAGCTTGCTGCCCACATGACAGTCCAGAGTGTGCATGGCTTTACCCCATATAACAGATGAGGACCTGAGGCCCTGGCCATGCAGCTCCTAGATGTTACAGCTAGATCTGGTTTTGGAACCTGGCTGCACCATCTGTTCCTTCTCACGGCTCAATGCCTCTTTTTCCCATAAGAACTGGAGTCAAGAGCCTTCTGCTTACCCTCTGTTGTTCCCCCTCCAGGTGACTGGTGGTACCGACAGCTTCCATCTCAGGACCTGCTGCATCTGGAACAACCCCAGCCTTCAGCATAGATCTCAAGGAGATCCACAGTGTGACTTAGGACTTTCCATGTTTATGAAAATAACTTTGATGTATGAATGTATTAAACCTTCTTCTGAAACCTGCTGTGGCTGGACGTGATGATGCCAGAGACTTGGTAACCTGGTGGCTTGGGTGATCGAGGGGTCCTTTCCGCTACAAAATTTTGCAATTTCTCCCCGTGGCTGGCAGAAATTGGTTATTTAAGGTATTTAATGGATAATCCCTGCAAAGTGTATTTATCTACTGCTACCTTAAGAAATTACCCCATGATGCCCGGCCAGTGTGGCTCAGTTGGTTGAGCATTGTCCTATTCACTGGATCAGTTCCTGGTCAGGACACATGTCCAGGGTGTGGGCTTGATTACCGAGTGGGGGACATGTGAGAGGTGGCTGATCAATGTTTTGTGTGTTTTTTTGTTGTTGCTTTTTTTCTTTTTCTTTTTTAGAGAGGAAGGGAAGGGGGAGGGAGAGAGAGAGAGAAACATTGATTCAATGCCTCCTGCACACCCCCTACTGGGGATCAAGCCTGAAACCCAGGCATATGCCCTGATCATGGATAGAACCAGCGACCTCTTGGTGCATGGTACTATGCTCAACCAACTAAGCCACATCGGCTGGGCAATAAAAACATTTTAAAAAAAGAAAAGAAATAAATTACCCCATGACAACCATTATTCTCAGTTTCTGTGGGCCGAGAATTTACAAGTAACCTGGGGCTAGAGGAGCCACTTCCAGGGTGCTCCCTCATGTGGCTGTTGGCACAACCAGGCTTCAGCTTCTCTCCACGTGGCTTATCCACAGCCCTGCTTGGGCATCCTCACAATGCGGCTGCTAGCTTCCCTGCCCTCCCCACCACCTGCCTCCCGGTGAGTGGTTCCAGAATGAGCAAGCAGAAGAAGCCACATGTCTTTTATGAGCTACCCTCGGAAGTCTCACTCCATTCCTTTATTCTCACTGCACATTCCATTTATTAGGACCACATCCCTGAGTCCGGCCCACATTCAAGGGGAGGAGAATTAAGCTCAGTGTTTTCAAAGGAGAATATTAGAATTTAAAGCTGTGTTAAACCATCACATGAAGGACAGAAACAACCAAGGTACACAAGGATAGGGCGCAGTCCACTTCCTCCCTGGTGCCCCTGCCCAATTCTCTCTATCTCTTGCCAAGTTCTTGAAAATTCTAGAATCATTCTATACAGCTATACCATATTTGTGGAAATAGCTGTTATATTAGTCTGTGTAGGTTATCATAACAAAACATCACAAACAGCATGGCTTAAACAACAAAATTTAGATATCTAAAGTAGTTTTCATTTTCTCTCAGTTCTGGAAGCTGAAAGTCTGACATGAAGGTTCCAACAGGGTTAGTTTCTGTAAGGACCCAATTCCTGGCTTGCAGACAGCAGCCTTCTCACTGTGTCCTCACACAGCCTTACCTTGATGCCTGAGAAAAGAAGAGAGAGCAAGTGGGCCCTCTGGTGTCTCTTAGAACAGTACTAATCCCAGGGAACCAGGGCCCCACCCTTCGGATATCATTTAACCTCATTACATCCTTAGAGGTCCCATCTCCAGACAGCCACACAGGCTCAGAGCTTCAACATACGAATTTTGGGAGTGGGGGCACATATTCAGTCCATATCAGCCTTATATTCTTAACACTAGTGGCATTTTCTACACACCTTTCCTCAAGTACTTTGTTCAGCTAAGGCTTATTTCCTGGAGTCCAGGCCACTTAAGAAAACACAGTAGCCTGGCTGGCGTGGCTCTGTGGTTGAGCATCAACCTATGATCCAGGAGATCATGGTTCTATTCCAAGTCAGGACACATACCTGGGTTACAGGGTCGACCCCCAGTGGGAGGCATGCAGGAAGCAGCCAATCAATGGTTCATCATTGATGTTTCTCTCCCTCTCCCTCTCTGAAATAGACATTTAAAAATAATTTTTAAAAAAAGAAAACAAAACGGTATCCTCAGGTTTTTTTAATAGTTAGATTGATATTTCTCAATGCAATGCTTACTATAGAATTAACAAAGCCAGAACATTTTCAGAAGGCATGCATTTCACTTCCAGTTTAGAGAACCTTAGTAATAAATCATGTCCAAACTACATATTAAAATGTTTATAAAAACCAAGCTTTAACATTTATTTTATACCTAGCTTTCCACTTCTGTGCAGATAAGGAATGAGTTTGCACATAAGTGTAAATAGTGCAAAAATGTGGCAGTGGAGAAAAGTCACAGGTGTGCTAGATATCGAGTACAGGATTGTGAGAAAGCAATGGAAAATCAAAATAGAAAAATAGAAGTAAAACTATATGGTCAGAATTAGGAAGGGTGAAGAATGATAATGTCCTTGTTACTACAGAAGTTAAGTTAGTGGCACATATAGCACTTAACATTAATTTTTTTAATCCTTACCCGAGGTCATGTTTTTCATTGATTCTAAAGAAAGGAGGGGAGAGGGGGAGAGAGAGAGTCCATGTGAGAGAGAAACATCAATCTGTTGCCTCCTATACATGCCCCTACCGGGGATCCAACCCAAAACCTGGGTATGTGCCTTGACTAGGACTCGAACCCAAGACCCTTTGGTGCACAGGACGATGCTCCAACTGAGCCACACCAGCCAGGGCAGCATTCTGTTTTTTGGTGTTTTGTTTGGTTTTTGTTTTTTAATTTTTATATATATATATATCTTTATTGATTTTAGAGAGAGGAAGGAAAAGGGAGAGAGAGACAGAAACATCAATGATGAGAAAGTCATTGATCAGCTGCCTCCTGCACGTCCCCTGCTGGGGATTGAGCCCGCTACCCGGGCATGTGCCCTGACCCAGAATCGAACCCTGATCTCCTGGATCCTAGGTCGATGCTCAACCGCTGAGCCACGCCTGGCTGGGCTGTTTGTGTGTTTTTAATCCTCACCCAAGGATACTTTTTCCATTGCTTTTCAGAGTGAGGGGAAGAGAGAGAGAAACATCAATGCAAGAGAGACACATCAATTGGTTGCCTTCCACCCTTGTGCCAACCAGGGCCAGGGATTGAGCCTGCAACCGAGGTACATGCCCTTGGTCAGAACTGAACCCAGGAGACTTCAAACCGAGGGCCCAAACTGGCTAGAGCAGCATTCTCAGTTTTTAACAGCTGCCTGGTACTAACATTTATTAACCAGTCAGCCAGGGATGTTCATTTCCAGTGATTTGCCATTATAATAATATTCGCAGTGTTCTTTTAGACATATATGAACATGTCTGTCACTTAAATACATGGTGAATTGTGAGATAAATGAGTATTCTTAAATTTTTGTTAATAATATTTAATGCATGCAGCGTAGACAGTGCTGTGCCAAGCCATATTGCAGCCTGAAGCGAAAGGAAACACGCCCCAATTCCCATATTTTTATGTCTTTTTGTAACAGTTAATGGTTTTAATAAAAATATATCTGAGGAGTGTCACCAGCATCATAGAGTAAGAAGACCCGTTTGTCCCTCCCTTTAAAGTCAGACAACTGTTAACTCAACAGAAGGACCCTTCTCAGCACCCAGATATGCCTGAGAGATTGCACATGGGGACATCTGAAATTGGTGCATCAGAACTAGTAGGGGAGCGGGACAAGGAAGGAAAGAAACAGGACCACAAGATGCAGGCCAATGCCCGCCACAGCCCTGCTAACAAGGTAAGTAGCTGTGGAAGAGTCAGGCTGCAGCCCCCACTTGGTGGCCTGGGGGGTTGGCGGGGCAGAAGCCACATTCTGGCCTGAATAGCCAGCACCTAGTGCAGCTAAACCCCCCCAGAGATGTGGCACAATAGTGCGGCAGCTGTGAACTAGGAGCTGCCATTACATTACCAGCAAGGTGGCAAAGCCGAAGACGGGAGAGCCCTGGAGAATGTGTCCCCTCACCCATCCATTGCAGCCAATCTGGGAGAGGCAGAACCCAGTAGAGGCAGCAGAGGTGAGAGAAAACAAACTTGCACTACAGCACCTCCTACTGGAAAAGAAAAGAGCTCTACTTACCAACTTGCTGAATTGTTAAGAGCAAAACAGTATCTGAACACGAGTTCACTACCTCAAATGCATGGAGAAACAATCCATCGGGTACCATGAATAACCAAAGGTATCACATTCCCTGACTCAGTCATAACAGTTAAACAGTACAGTATTGGCAGAAAAGGACACAGACCAATGTGACCGAATTGAGAATCCGGAAATAAACACTGGGCAACTAATTTTTGACAAGCAAAAAACACAATGGAGAAAGGGAAGTCTCTTCAATAAATGGCATTGGGAAAACTGGAAAGCCACATGCAAAAGAATTAAACTAGACTGCTAACACCATAAAAATTAAAGTGGACTGAAGTCTTGAATATAAGATCTAAAACAATAAAACACATAGAAGAAAACATAAGACACTAAACTTATGGACCTTGGTCTCATATGGCTTTTTGTGAACTTGATCCCAAAAGCAAAAGAAGTAAAAGAAAAACAAATGGAACTACATCAACCTAAAAAGCTTCTGCACAGTCGAAACCATGTAAAAACAAAGAAAACCAACTGAATGGGAGAAGATATTTGCACATGATACCTCTGATAAGGTTTTTTTTAATCCTCACCCTAGGACATTTTTTCCGTTACTTTTCAGAGAGCGTGGAAAGGAGAGAGAGAGAGAAACATCGATTGGCTGCCTCCCACACATACCCCAACCAGGGCCAGGATGGAGCCTGAAACCAAGGAGCGTGCACTTGGCTGGCATCAAACCTGGGACCCTTCAGTCCAAGGGCCGAGCTCTAATCAGTGAGCCAAACTGGCTATGGCATGATAATGGGTTAATAACCAAAATACCTAAGGAACTCATATAACTCAAGAACAACAAAACAATTAAAAATGGGCAGAGGGCCTCAATAGACTGTCCTCCAAAGAGGACATACAGATGGCCAATAGGCATATGAAAAGATGCTCAATGCCACTAATCAGAAAAGTGCTAATTAAAACCACAATTAAGTATTACCTCACACCTATTGGAATGGCTATTATCAATGAATCAACAAACAAGTGGCCCAGCCCACATGGCTCAGTGGTTGTGTGTCAACCT